TGTATGTTATATGGTATAGTTTATTTCATTACACAAATTATGTACAGTATACAGTATGATATGATAAATAGTAAAAGGCATTACATTTTATAGCATTCCATACTATGTAATGTAACACAAGGCAGTCCGTTACATAATATAATGCATAATTAGATATGACACAAAAGAGAACAAATAAACTATTTAATGCAGTTTTACCAATGATAAGTATTTTATTACTGACAAATATATGATTTAACAAAAAACAAGACTAACAGCTCAAGGACATCTTGACATTTCAATAATTAAAATACCTTAAGGTTTATGATTTATCGCATATGCTATGTATGTATGTGGGAGAGAGAGAGAGAGAGAGAGAGAGAGAGAGAGAGAGAGAGAGAGAGAGAGAGAGAGAGAGAGAGAGAGAGAGAGAGAGAGAGAGAGAGAGCGGGGGGGGGAGACAGAGACAGCGAGATCTATAGATAGATAAATACACGAATAAACAAAAAGATCGCCCAGACGCAAAAGACAAAAGAAAAAAGAACACAAACAGAAACACACCCACCACCCACAGCTCGGTCCTCTCACTCGCCCTCTTCCCTCAGGTCGTGGACGAGGCTCTTGAAACAGTGACGACCCACGAGGGCGGCAGACTCCTGGTGGCGGGCTCTCAGCTGGGCACGCTGTCCCTCCTCCACCTGCCCTCCAGGCTCGTCATGCCCTCCGACAAGCACGAGAAAGCAGCGTTTACGGCCGTGAGTTCAGTGTTTCTCTTCTTCGGATCTCGGCGTTGGCTTCATGTGGTTGCTGTGTGATGTTTTTTTTCATATAAATGTGTGCGAGTTTTTATATATATGCATGTAATAAAACATATAGATAGATATAAATACACACACACACGTACAAAAACACACACTCACACACACAAACACACACCTACACACACACACACACACACTCTGTAAGGTTTAGCCGATTAGCGAGTCTGAGCGGCAGTGTTGGTCGAACAAGTCAGAGTTCGACAGCGTGGGAGCAGGACGTAAGATCTTGATAAATTACACTCAGAGAGAGCTGATGGGCAGAGTCTAGCTTTCGAAAGAAGTTTGAGTTCACAGGCGACGTCTCGTTAACAAGAATAAACAAAGGGGAGACGTAACATTCACAGCAGGGGGGGGTGGGGAGGTCTAAACACGGCAATGGCACGAGGGATCGAGAATTTGTATATCAGAATTTATTAGAAGCTTGTTATGATTGGCCTGGCGGAATTAGTATCTCTTGGTGTGGATAGTTATACGTGTGGAGAGACGGAAGTGTTCATAATGTTATGTGTAAATTAACATTTTATGTGTAATACGTTACACATACATTAATTCGCAGTTAACTAAAAGCAAGACAATCTAATCAAGAGACATGAGACATGAACTAATGAAAATATTAAATAATATTAAATACGAGTTGGCTAAAATAATATGAATACAATGTATATGTGACTACAGCAGAATACACGGGATATAATAGTGACAAGAACAAAAGGTAAAGACAAATTCGTAAGAACCACAACAAAAGTACTATCGTGAGGTTGAAGGGAATAAACAAGACGCAAAAGAATGAGAAAGGATGAAGCTGCATCTCATGACATATGGACCGAACGAACATTCACGGGACGGAGAGGAAGGGTTGCAACAGTGAGGGAGAGAGCAACACACACACATTCACACAAACACGCACACACACACACACACACTTACACAAACATTCACACACACACACTTACACAAACACGCACACTTACACAAACATGCACACACACACACACTTACACAAACACGCACACACACACACTCACACAAACACCCACACACATACACACACAAAAAAAAAAAAAAAAACAGGATAGTTGGTAAATAAAATTCTCCTTAACGTCATAAATGTTTTAAATGATGATAAAGTGGCTCGCAAGCCCAAGATTAAGCACATGTGTGTATATTTTCAGGCGAATATTTCAAATCGATTATTCAGTTTGGAAATATATTTAGATTTAGCTTCTATTTTAATGCTGTAAAATATCCATTAGCTAAATTACATTCAGCAAAAAATAATTACAGTCTCTATGAGTTACTGAAAAAGAAAAAGAAAAAAAGAATAATGCATGCTTTTTGTTAAAGCAAATTCAGGTTATAAAAGCTTTGGCAGAATTTAAGGAGATGAATAGGCTACTTGGCAACTTTTCTTTCCTTATTCTTTGCTAATCTATCTTTTTTTTCTCTCTCTTTATCGAAGTATATATTTGGCAGCCTACCTTACCTACCTCTTCTCCATCTTATTCTATCTCTCTCTCTTACTCTTTATCTCTCTCTCTCTCTCTCTCTTTCTCTCTCTCACTCTTTCTCTTTCTCTCTCTCTCTCTCTCTCTCTCTCTCTCTCTCTCTCTCTCTCTCTCTCTCTCTCTCTCTCTCTCTCTCTCTCTCTCTCTACCTACCTACCTACCTACCACGCCTTCCCTCCACGCCTCCCTTGCATCTGTAAATAAAATTGCCTCCCAGATTTTAAAGAAAATTACAAAAGTGTTTTGTTAATCTCCTGAATGAGTATGAATAAGTGGCATTATAGTTCAACTTTCCATTATGTGACCAAACATAAAAAGAGAAATTACTGTCCTTTTTCCAAGGGCTCGCGGCCCCTTTGGAGAATACTGAAGCCCCAGGGAAAGAACCACTAGTCCACATGATAGGTTTTTTTTTATCCGTATTATAGTGCATAGGAGGAAATCCACAATGCCTGGAAACCAGTTGAGGAGATTTACAAGGTAACAATATATACAGCATATACAGTACTGTATGGGTGTATATCATCAGCCACTTGTAAGCCACTTGGAAAATACGGTTCTTATTATGAAGATGCATTCTTCCTTAATTGTCTTTGTTCTTCTATGGGCGTTTGTGTGTGCGTGTGTGTATGAGCGACCATGTACAATTGAATGCGTTCTTGTGTGTGTGTGTGTGTGTGTGTATGTAGAAGAGAGACAGAAAAAAGAGCGTGAGAGAGAGAAAGAGAGAGAGCGAGGAAGAGAAAAGAGAAAGAGCGAAAGCGAGAGAGAGAAAGATATGTTTAAAAAGAAATAATAGTAGTAATAATGACAAATGAATAAATTACAATAAAATAACCCTAAAAATGAATCATTTTCCTTTTTTTCTGATACCACCAAAACCTCCAACCTCCCCAGATCCTGGAGCGGGAGACGAGGCGCGAGCGAGTCCTCGAGGCGCGCCACAAGGAGCAGCGCCTTCGGGAGCGTGTCCGAGGAGGCGCCGGGAGAGGGGGGGCGGGCGGCCCTCCAGGTGCCCCTGGGGGGGACGCCGCGCCCGCCAGGAACGCCATCAAGGAGGCAGAGGAAGAGTACCTGCGGCGGGTGGCGGAGGTGAGAGGGGGAAGGGGGGGAGAGGGGGGGAGGGGAGAGAGAGAGGAGAGAGAGAGAGAGAGAGAGAGAAAATATGAGAGAGAGAAGGGGGGGTGGGGGAGGGGCCAGAAGGAGAGAGAGAGAGAAAGTATGAGAGAGAGAGAGAGAGGGTAGGGAGGGTAAGGGAGAGGGAGAGAAAAAAATATATATATAAGAAAGAGAGAGGCAAAAGAGAAGAATAAATGGATTTTTCTCTCTCTCTTTTATTGCGTGTGAGTCACCTTCCCTCCGGCATGAAACACCACCATTAATGTAACACTTGTACGAGGCAGAAGTGTCAAAAAAATAATGAGAGAGAGAGAAAGAAAGAAAACTAATTCGTTTTCATTTTTAACATATATGCATTGCGGTTCTGTGAGCGTATTATCATAGAAGCAACACTTTTAAACCATTTATAAAAAATAATAAAGAATAAAAATAATAAAAGACACAACGACTGAGCTATTCTCCTCTCTCTTCCCTCTCCCTCTATTTTTTTCAGTTCACTTTTTTGTACTGCTGTGGTAACCGCTATCAAAATGAAAGGAAAAAATATTTCGTGGAATGCTTCTGATAAAAAAAAATCCCAGCAAAGATTCTAAGCTGAGATCCATTTTAAATGTGGCTGATTAAAAGCAATGCCATTAGAAAATAACTCGGTATGATTAATTACCAATAATCACGTACAACCTACGTCTGTCTCTCTCTCTCTCTCTCTCTCTCTCTCTCTCTCTCTCTCTCTCTCTCTCTCTCTCTCTCTCTCTCTCTCTCTCTCTCTCTCTCTCCCTTATTGATCTCTCTATGCAAAATATAGAAATTCCTCGGCCCACGCAGTCACTCAATAGCTACGAGGAGGAAATACCAGTAAAGGTTTATAATTTTTCCTCGAGCATAACGGCGACCTTTACGGCGTCTCGATGTCACAAGCGAGATAAATCCTTTTGCCTTTGTGAAGATGTAGATAATATAAATTACTTTGCCTTTTACATGTATCAGTTTTCCTGAATCCAATTGTTATTCCTTTAAATTACCATCCACGCTTATTTTTAATGTTTTCTTCATCAGAGACTATCATGTCTAGTTTCCGCTCTCTATGCAAAGCTGTTGCATCGCGTTGCTAGTTCACGGCAGAGCAACCCCATAGCAGAAACTGAAGTGGATTAATTAGCGACAAAGGAAAATATCTAAAGATTTTTTTTTCGCCTCAATACTTTTTACAGATCTAATGAACACCCTTTGATAAACGTATAAAATTCACCATCTTTGTGAATATGTATGTCCATGTGCCCGGATTCCTCTGCAGAGGTTCTCAAAGATCATAACAAAAGTATCAATATAGTTTTAACAAAGGTATGGAATTAATCCTTTTGTTTCTTATTCATTTATCTATCAGTTTATCAATTCATTTATTTACCTATTTCTATATTTATTGTATATATCAATTTATTCCTTTATTCCTGTATTTGGTTATCCATCCATCTATCTGTCTATCCATTTATTTATTTATTTATTCATTTACTCACTCATTCGCAGCTAAAAGCCCAAATCGAGCAAGTGGAAGCGTCAGTGGCAGTCGAAGTTACCG